AAAATTTCAGACAATTTGGTTTAGTTTAAGCCCTTTAACTATTCATTTTGTTCTAAAAGGTCAGCCTTTCGCATGCTTAATTAATGCCTTTACCTAATTTGCATATTGCTGACATATGCAAATTAGGCAAATGCATTAATTAAGCATGCAAATAGCTGATTTTTCGGGAAAATTGTAACTTTGCGTGAATAGTTAAGGGGCTTAAACTAAACCAAATCGTCTGAAATTTTGTACAGTAATTAAAATCCCGACAAATTTTCCATCTGTTAACTTAAAATATGATTGCAGCTTTTAAATTTTGTGCGCGAGCCATTTTTAGTTTGTTGGAAAAGACACCCCCCCCTGGTTCACAAAATTTGAGTTCGAGAAATTTTTTTCATTATTTTACATTATAAGTACCCAAAGAAGCTATATATATAAAAAAACAGATACAAATAGCTGTTCTGCGAAATTGAGAGCAATTTTAAATCTGTTCAGTTTTTTTTGATACACCCTGTAGACACGGAATGTTCCAGAACATTCTAAAAATATTCAATACAAATACAATATCTCAGTCAAACAATGACAACAGTCAAAAGGGGCCCCCACACCAAATAATCCTGAGGGGTAAAGGGTCCCCTCATCCTCCGTTACGCCACTGGGTTTGAATGCTTTCTTTCCATTCGGTTCGTCCCCTTCCCTCCTGTATGCTATTTTTCAGTCACGAATAGCAAATTTGCGGACTAAGGTCAACGAGCGTGGTATTATACACGAGTTCCAGTGTAGGTAGTATTCTACAATAAGCTGTCGTGGTTTGCATCTTTATCCCATACCTGTGTTAAAAGCGGCTTTCTGATTGGTTTAGAGCAGGTGAGCTTGTCGTCGAGCTCACCTGCTTTTTGCCGAACTCACCTGCTTTTCGCCCGAACTCACCCGCTAAACTGTTTACGTTGCAATAACAATAACAAATATGGCGGACAAGATTTAGCCGATAAACCTAAACTTTAAATTAAAGAACTTTTTTCGGTGACTAACATACCGAGACTGAAGAAAAACCAAAGAAAAAATGCAGTAAAGGTAATTTAGACGTAGATAAAGAAGTATTTTCTTGCCCAGTGATTTTTTTGGCCGGGAAAATGTTCACAAAACATCGACGAATATATCGCGAAGAGCTACAAATGTGTGTATGGCTCGGTCAGCCTCGGTGTATGGGATAAAAACCAAACGTACTTGCAGGTTCGGTGAGTCCGTGGTGGTCCAGTGTAAGTAGTATTCTACAATCTACAATAAGCTGCCGTGGTTTGTGTCTGAACCAGTGTTGTAACGAGTCACCTACAGGTCGAGTCACGAGTCGAGTCACTCAAAGCTCGAGTCACAAGTCTAGTCGAGTCATTTCAGTTTCTGGTCGAGTCGATCAGCGGCTTCACGCGAGTCGAGTCACTGGTTTAAGTCGAGTCGAGTCAATAGCTAGACTTGACTTAAGTCAGGGAATTTGATCAAGTCCAACCCCATCCTGGTCTCCAGGGCCTCTCCGCCGCGCGCGTCCTCCCTAGGCCCTGGGACATATGGAACACTATGGACATTTTAGGGCCACTGGGGAGAATATGTTACAGTAATTGGTGTTACCCATCGTTAAATTAAGTTTATTGTATTGTATTGAATTGAACCGGAAGTGCAAGAAAACTTGCAGTAGTTCTAAAATGCATGCTCTTGAACTGGGACACTTTAGCACCCGTAACAATTTTAACAGTGAAGTATACGAAGAAACGAAGTATTTGCGTTGACATATGTTGACAGAATAAATTTTCCCTGCGAAAACTGCTCAACTTCTGTGAAATAGCATTACTCTGAAAAGCCAATCAGATCTCTTCTTTTTGTCGTCTAACCCAGAGCCTAATTTTCAACGAGTGACCAGGTGAAAATGGCTCTGGGGACGAGAATGGTCCACCCCACGCTTTTTGTAATGGTTAGCTACCCTAGCTTGCAGTCGGAAATTAGTAATCAAATTTACGTTTTAAGCTAATCACTTTAATCATTTAATAACAGTATCTGGACAGCTATAGGCTGTACCAATATCACAGTTCTAGTCAATATTAAGTACGACCACATGAGATGTCTCATCATGCCTGCTGATCGAGTGTACGTACATACAACTAGCATAACTTGCAACTGGAGTCAGAATTAACAAAGAATAGACTTTAACTCCATAAATACCAAAAATGAAAATAGCTGGTCAGAATTAGAATAAGTACAAACAATTTTGATACTCCATTTTAAAAACTGCGGCACTAGCGTTGTTTCAAAATACAGAAATCTAATATAGGCATGCCCGTCAGGAATATATTCTATGCAAATTCCATATATTTTCTGATAAAGTTTCGAAGTTCTCATTGTTCACAGGGCGGCATTGTTCTTCCCAAGCAATACAATCACAATAATTTTGATGAATTTACTCTGTACAAGTTGTAGCTGAGTTGACTCGAGTCATTTACGGCAAAATCAGCAAGTCGAGTCCGAGTTGAGTCATGTGGGGCTGTTGACTCGAGTCGAGTTATTTTTCGTATTGGACTCGAACCGAGTCGCTGAAAATAGCGACTCGAGCCCGAGTCAATGACTCGACTCGTTACAACACTGGTCTGAACTACCTGAAAAAGATATCTCAAACGTGGTGGTCTAGTGTAGGTAGTATTCTACAATAAGCTGTCTTGGTTTGTGTCTGAACTACCTGAAAAAGATATCTCAAACATGGTGGTCCAGTGTAGGTAGTATTCAACAATAAGCTGTACGTCGTGGTTTGTGTCTGAACTACCTTAAAAAATATCTTAAACGTGGTGGTCCAATGTAGGTAGTATTCTACAATAAGCTGTCGTGGTTTGTGTCCCGGAACTACCTGAAAAAGATATCCCAAACGTGGTGGTCCAGTCTAGGTAGTATTCTACAATAAGCTGTACATGTTGTGGTTTGTGTCTGAACTACCTGAAAAAGATATCTCAAATCATGTCAAATTTTTCTTTATTATAACCACAAATTTACGAATACACGATGATACATATTATAAAATACATGAATACGTGGCGAGGAGACCTCTAGAAGGCGGAAGCTTTTACACGAGGCCATCTTGTAGGTAAATAACACTATGTTATATTGACTATTATATTGTAACTCACAAAAACAAGTACAGTAAGTTATAGAGACATAATAAATTCAGACTCGTTTAACTCGGTTTAGTAGAAAACAGTTAAGAATTTTTCTAAATGAATGAGTAATAATATAGAGGCCGTTCGACCCCCTTTTGTAGGGCGGCGCATCATCAAAAATTCAGGGCGGCGCACATTAAAAATTCAGGCGGCGCAGCATTAAAAATTCAGGGCAGCGCAACATTAAAAATTCGGGGTGGCGCATCATTAAAAATCAGGGTCGCTGGTAATGTTGTTTACAGAAACATCTTGAGATATGTCCGTATTTTTGATAAATTTAAAGGAAATATAATCACTTTGCAAAGAATATGATTTACCATTGCAAATAATATAGCACACTGGTTATGTTACATTAAACGAAATAAAAACGATGGTTTTACAAGCATATGTTTAAAGTAAAGTTTTAAATATAGAGTTTTTCTTGATAGAAACAAATGCATTAGAAGCGTAAATAGTCTGATGGCAGCGTTGTCAGGTAATTCCGGACAGCGTTGTCAGGTAATTCCGAGCAGCGTTGTCAGGTAATTCCCACGCGTAAAACACAAAGGTTCATGTAATTAAGGAGATTATAAGGCAATACGAATTTGCATAACCAATAGGATCCTAATGGATATAAATGGATATTATTACGGGCGGTCGTGGGCATGTTCAGGCGAACAGTCAATATTTTCGCTGAGCTCAGCAATTTTTCGCGTCCCACGATTGGGGTAAATCAGCGATTTTTCCACGATCCATATTATTGGGTAAATAGCGTGTGTTTCTCATTTGATTTTTGACGTTTGTGGCGAGACAGTCAATCGATAACATGGATATAATTGTTGATGAGTTGAAACGAAATGAAAAGGAAATTTGATAAGCAAACTTCATCGTTCCATATAAATACAATGACCAACCAACGTCGCGGTCTATACCATGAAATGAATACTCATGATCTAACCATGAACAAGCCTACAGAGAGATTAATGTTACAAACATTGGTCGTATTATTTTGCTTATTTAGCTTTCGTATATTTACAAAATTTTGGCGAGGAA